ATTTTACATTTGTCTTGGATTCGCTGTTTTTGAGTCGAACTCGAAATATAAATTTAACTACCTTTGAAAAACACCTTTCCCACAGGGATGGGTCTTGACACCCTTGCCTGGCAAACAACAGGCTGTTGTAAGCAATTCAGTGGAGATGAGACTCATGATAACTGATACAAACCTACATAGGTATCTTAGAAAAAGCAGATCAATATTTGTGTTGAACGTGAGTAAGAACAGAGTGTGAGTGATCAGTTTCAGAGGAATAGATCTTTTACCAAAGGTACCTTTATACTCAAGGAATTGTTTATGTCTGATGGAAACCCAAGTGACATTTTTTTAAAAATTTTTTTTATTGATTTTTTTTTTTTTTTTTAAAGAGAAAGGACGGGAGAGATAGATAGAAACCTCAATCAGCTGCCTCCTGCACAACCCCACTGGGGGTTGAGCCACAACCCGAATATGTGCCCTGACCAGGAATTGAACCAGGACGACACTCAATTCACTGAGCCACACCGCTGGGCCCACGTGACATTTTAATTCATGTCAGGAGCTTCGATCACAAACTAAGCCAAAGTTGCTTCTTAAGAAAGAGAAATACGTTCTAGAGCTGCTGTCCAACATTGTACCTATCGTCAACAATACTGTAGTGGACACTTAAAAATTTAAGAGGGTAGTTCTCATGTTAAGTGTTCTTGATACAATAAAATAAAACAAAAAATAAAAGCAATAAATTATTGTGTTGTTAGACAAGTAAAAAACATCTAACATTTATTGAATATTTTTTATCTGCCCAAACACTGAGCAGAACCCTCTCCTGGCATGTTACGTTCCCTGCACAACTCTCTAAGGAGCCCTTACTGGTAGAAGTCCTGCTCATGCAGGAGGAACTGAGCCGAGGGGACATAACAAGGCAAGTGAGTGTTGGAGTGGAAATAAACCCCAGATAGTCTGATTTTGGAACCTGAACTCTTACCTGCCAGGTTACAGTACTTTCCTGTCATGCTGAAAGTTGTGTGGAAGCAAATAGATGTCAGATTTTCAGCAAGTGAAAACATTTGTTAACAGAATAGAATAAGTTTCTGTTTTCTAGTTGAGTTGCTTTGCAAATGAAATGTTTAAAAGGTTCTCAATTTGATCAGTGGCATTTGTTGTGTGTCTCATTTTATTATGGACTACTTAAAATGACAAGAACTGTATGCCTTTAGTCATTTTATTATTTTTAATTTATCTTTATCATTGAAAGTATTATCGATGCTCCCTCCTTTCCCCCTCATTGACCCCCCTGCCTTCACTGCACAGTTGTCTGTGTCCATGGGTTATGCATATATGCATGTAAGTTCTTTGATATTTCTCTTCCCACCGCCCCTCTTCCCTCTGAGGTTCATCAGTCTGTTAGTCATTTTAAACTCTACAGTGGGCCCTCTGTTCAATGTCTATTGGCTAGCTAGACTGGTAGATACTTTGAGCAGTTATACCACCCCTCTATTATAGTGACATTTCACGCTTGGACATCTTGAGGGAGAATTTTCCTTGTTGTTGTTACTGCATTTAGCTGTCAGCGAGCACATTCGTCCTGTCCGCTTTCACTAAGGAATCTGTACGCCACACTCTGAAATGACTTGTGCAAACATTTCTCTGAATACAGTTTGAATATACACGTGGCTTGTGCTATGCTAGGGTAGGGCTTCCCGGACTTTAAGGTGCATTCAAATTACCTAGGAATCCTATTAAAATGCAGGACCTAAGATACTACATTTTTAACAAGCTCTCAGGGAAAGCAGATTGTACTACACATGGACCACAATTTGAGTACTAAGATCCTCAAAATTGCTCAGTTTTTCTTGGGTCTAAAAAGAAAATCTGGTTTGATACAAAAATCAGGGGAAAAGCCTTCCCTATAATTTTCTCATTTTTCCTAAGTTTATATATCTGGTCATAAAAATCAGGTTTGACAAAATCAATTTATACATTTATATGTTTGCAAACAAAAGTATCTATAACAGCTCTTTTAAAAATAAAATGTTTCCATTTGGACCTGGCCAGTGTGGCTCAGTGGATTGAACTCTGTCCCATGGACTGAAAGTTCCCAAAAAATTCCAGGTCAGGGCACATGCCCGGGTTGCAGGCTCGATCCCTAGTGAGGGGCATGCAGGAGGCAGCAGATTGATGTATCTCTCTCACACTGATGTTTCTAGCTCTCTCTCCCTCTAAAAAAAAAAATCAATGAAAATATATTTTTAAAATAAAATGTTTCCATTTGGGCCCTAAATCTACTGGTTCAAAATATTTTTCTTCTTGCCTTCCAAACTTTTGAAATTTATACCCCTGATGTAAATGAAATTGTGGAGTCATACTTGAAATTTCTAGAATCATCTGGCTACCAGAGAGCTGTGCAACCTCCAACCCCATCTTGAGGCAGGCAGGTATAATGTTCTTTGGTCAGTACAAGTTCAATCCAGAGTTCTGGGCATTAAAAGGACAGAAATCGAATTTTAGATGGTTCTGGAATCCCCTACTTAACCCAGCAGTCCTATTTCAACAGAGTCATTGTGGAATTTGGTAGATTTTTCAGGTAACTTTGTCCCTATGCTCTTCCTGTTATTGTCAGCATCACTCATTTTTGCTCCAACAAGAAGATATATAGTATGTATAATAGAGGTAAATGTAAAACTCCTACACTTGGGTCCCAAGATCAAATTGCAAATGAGCAAAATGCAAGAGACACAGTTAAAAATCAATCATTTTCAGAAGAAACAAAATTTTTGCTGCCTGCCAATTCAATATAAGTGATCAAAATACTGTTATTCAGTCTGGGAAAGCATTAATAGAACTGTAGTGCCTAAGGACAAAAAGGTAATGGCTCACTCTACTTCGTATTGGCAAAGCCATTCTGGGGATAGTATGGTGTTCAGATATATGTCCGTGTGTGTGTGTGTGTGTGTGTGTGTGTGTGTGTGTGTGTGTGTCTGTCTGTCTGTCTGTCTATGAGTCAGAGAAGTTATGGGAAGGCAGAAGAAATGGCATACGTGAACTAGGAGAAACGACGACAAAGATAAACAGGTTTCAAAAAGATAAACCAAATGGTAGTTCATCTTTTTGAAGATAAGTGATGAAAAAAAATGGTGAGAGAGCTTCACATTGTGTTATACGTTGAAAGACAGAGATATTTACGTTTGAAGTGTGTACATGTGGGTTTTAGAGTGGAAGCTAGTAAGACATTGATAATGGATGGATGGATGGATAGATGGATGGACATACAGCATCTATTTAATTTGCTCTGCATGCTAGGTACTCTGCTGAGAACTGTACATACACTAAATAGTGTTCTTCTCCAAACAATCCTCTAAAATTAGTTTTATTCCCATGTGAAAACTGGTAAATATTAGACACAGATAAATTAAGTGACCTGTCCAAAGTCATTGACTGGGTGACCTCGTAGTTTGTGCTCTTAACCTCTAGTTTATAACCCTGTGTGACAACCACAGAGGTTCACTGCTCAGATCTCCCTTAAAGAAATAGCTTGCTGGCCTGCTGTGAGAAGTACAGTTAGCTGACAGCCTCCAGCTGTTCACACCCTCAGAATGTGCTTTGCAGTTCTACAGAGACCATGATGTTTCTGAGAGGCCCCGGCCAGTGGCTGAGCGGCGCAGAGGTAGTAGAAACTGGAAACCTCTACCCATTGTGGGGCTCCCCTAATCCCCAGGCTGCTCAGGAGTTCCTCACTGAGTTCTCAGAGACTTTATCGGATCGGCATTGCAATCTGAGGCTGTTCTTGCCCACTCCTGCCTCCTCCTCTCTTTTATCTATTACAGAAGTTAATCTGAAAAACAAAACAAAACAAAACAAAAACTTTCATTACTCCACCATCCAGTCTCAGCATCTGCTTCCTGTGGGACCCAACTGACATACCATGTCTTCAAATACTTGGAGTGCTATCACATGAAAGAGCATTGAGAGTTGTTTTCATGTGGCGATAAGGGGTTAATTAGGACAAAGTGACTGAACTATTAGGAAAGCAATAGGTCTGGTTTCATACATGCACACTTGCGTGCTCCCAGGACAGCCCAGCGGTACTCTAGGACACACCAGCCATTGTCCACATACTTTTCTTTTCTTTTTTTTTTTTAATCAGAGAGCTCCTAACAAGTGAGTTAAGGTAATGGGTTGTTTGCTCCCATGAGTTGTTTGGCCAGACAAAAACCAAATTGCACATATGCTTTGTTAAACAAACTGTAATATGGGTTCAGCATCTGATGAAATTCTCATGACACCTTCCAGGTTCTTAAGCTCAATAAATGTATCCCAGAGCCAGAAAGATTTAATTCCTCAAAGCCATTGTCTCCTTTCCTTCATCAAGACACCGGCACACCAGTGAAGGGACACATATTTGACCCCAGTGTTTCCATGACAGTTAGATGGTAGAAGTAATCCTATATTGCAGATGGTGAAATGAGATGTAGGAAAGTCTGGCAGTGAAACAGTAACCTAGTCAGCATAGGGATCTGTATAGTAGGAGACATTCATTAGATCTGCAAATACTCACAGGCCACCTTCCAAAGCCTAGACTCTCCTGCAGGTGCTGGGGACACAATAATGTGCCTGACAGAGTCCCCACTTTCATGGAGCGTACATTCAAATGCCTCTGAGAAAGTCTGCTGACCCTTCACGGAGAGAAGCACTCGCAGTTGCTGACAGCGACCCTAGAAAGTCCCGTGGAGCCTGCACACTGCGGTCCTTTCCCTCCCCCCACCCCAAAGTCCTGCAGCATCCTTGCCACTTACCGGCTACATTTGCAAGAAACATTTTATTACACTAATAGTGTTTTGAAGCAAGTTCATACAATTTGCAAGAGAAGTTATAAAAAGCAATCTCAGCAATATTTGGGGGTTTTTAAAACTGATGATGCAGCTGACCTACTGGAGACAAAGGCAGTGGGAGGGCCCTCTCTGGTGTAAATAAATAGGAGTCTCTGTGCTGAGAACCCACAGTTTAGACTCAGAGCTGAAGTCTGAACTCCACCTTCAGGCAGAATGAGGTTCTTGCCCGGATGTCTGCTTCTGGTGCTGCTGGTCACCAGCCTCTCTCCAGTCCATGGTGAGAACTTTTCACTTATGTTTCCATTGTCTTTTGAACAGAAATGGTCTTCAGCTATTTCAATTGTGTTGTTGTTGTTGTTTTTCAATTAGAAAATGGGGGGAAATATGACTTCAGGAAGAAAAAACTGCTCACTGCTCCTAGGTTTCTAAAAGCAAGGTGCTTAAGAATTCAACTCTTGGAAGCATTTATATTGTTACAATTGTTAGCTATAGAGGGAGGGCTTTAGATGTCCAATGTCCATGTGGCTTATACTTGGTTTTCCTATTCCTAACCTTTTTCAGGTTTAGCTCTGCTATCACTAATTCTCTTTCCATGTATCTCTTCTTTGGTCGGCCTGTCAGGGCTACCCCTTCGGACCAAATCCTTTACAGGATTTAAAGATTATTGACCTCAATGTGTTGGTCTCCTGCAGGGAACGTCTGATGCAATTCTGCAGGGTTAGCACTGACACGAACCACTAAAAGTACATCAGGAGAAATTAAGTACACGCTTTCTGCAAAGAAGCAGATTTCCAAGTCTAAAAGGGAAGGTGGTCTTTGTGTAAATAGATAAATAATTAGTTGAAGTGGTAAGTTTTCATACACTGAAGGAATTAGATGCATGAGCAGAATGATACACTTAGCTCAGGTTTAGAGGACACATTTTTGTTCTTAAAATGCAGAAAATATTTTTTTCCAATTAGTTGCTTCATAAGTTATTTCCATTCTTCAAAACCCTCATCTCTTTCCTCCTCCAGGAGGCTTTTCCATTGCTCCTGGCAATGCCCTCTGTTCCCATTATGCAGTTTGGACCTTGGGTGAAATACAGCATTCTGTGGTATTTTAGTTTTTGCTCATTGTTTCCTCCGCTAAACTGTAAACGCTTTGAGAGCTTGGTCTCCTATATTTGCAAATACATGTCAAGCATGGTGGCGGGCACTGGGACGAAAGAAGGAAGAGTTCACGAAAATACCTGAGGTGGGTCACCTATGCTACTTGTCTAGTACTAATAACTAGTGGTTGGATAAAAACAGTCTTGAGCCCTGTCCGGTTTGGCTCAGCGGTTAAGCGTCGGCCTGCGGTCCGGAGAGACCCAGGTTCGGTTCCCGCTAAGGGCACGTACCTCAGTTGCAGTTTGTCCCCGGCCCTGGTTGGTTGTGCGGGTGGCAGCCACGCGATGTGTCCCTTTCACATCGATGTTTCTCTCTCTCTCTCTCTCTTTTCCTCTTTCTCCCTCCCACTCTACCTGAGCAAAAAATGGAAAAATGTCCTTGGGTGAGGATAAAAAAAAAAAAAAAGTAAAAAACAGTCTTGAATTTTTATTAATGGCTTTTATTTGGTAATGATTTGCAACTGAGATGGAGGACCAATGTATTAAACAGAAACAAAAAATATCTTCTGTAATATTTCTACAGAGATTGACAAGTGCTGGGTGGCATTTGGTATGCTAAGAGGGAGAACTGTTACAGCTTGTTATTATTTCAGGGACTCTGTGATGAGTTCTTGTTCTCACCTTCTGTGTTAGGAGTGAAGATCAGTTGATTTTCTACTGCATTAATTATAACTGAGTTGTAAGTCCCTATTCTGGTGCTTCTCAAATTTTATTATTTGGACAATGACCCGAGTGCCAATATAATTCTTATCACAAACTTCAATAGATGTGTTTTTAAAAAGCTAATTTTGTTTTTTGGATTTTGGTAGGCAAGATTTGCAAATAAGTCAAGACAAGCAGAAATACACACACTAAAGGAACATAGGTGGAAGCAACAACATTTTTTTAAGTCCTCAAGCGTGCTGTATGAACCATGAGTAGTTACGTGCTAGTTATGAATTATATATCAAAGGCATTAAAGTAACTGCTTCTGTGTTACAGGTGTTCTGGAGGCTTTAAATACAAACTTGAAGTGTCAATGCACCAAAACTGTCTCATTCTGGAACAAACCCAAGATGGTTTCATTCATTGACATCTTTCCCCCTGGGAACAGTTGCCCAAACATGGAAGTCATGTAAGTTGCAAATGGTGTTCTTATTTCTCAGACCTCAGGTTACAAAACACCTACTACAGATTTCAACCTGCCTCTCCAATTCTGCTTCTTCTGGGAATAATTAGTTTTATATTCAAGTCTTTCATTGAGTGCAGGATTGACTAAAATGTAACACTGTTTTATTGTTATTTCCGTTTATTTTCTCCCAGAGTCCGGACGAAGACTAAGTCAAATCTATGCTTGAATCCTGACTCCAAGTGGACACGATCTTTGTTGAAAGATGTACTGAAGTAAGTCAGGCATACAAAGGGTTTCAGATTCTAATTTGCACTGAAGGGTTTCCCTTTCCTGAACAGTCAAAATGGGCGCCAATTTCAATTTATGAGATGTTCCTAAGACAAAAGTCAATTCTTCATTATTATTACTTACCAGAGAGGGTTGGGGGGATTCGTTCTAGCAGCACAGTAAACTACACTGGAAGCAAGTGTCCCTAATATTCTTTGCTTGATCTCTCCAGGGGAAAGCCACGGTTTCAGGTCTTTCTCTAAACATGACTGTATTGTTTATGTTTTTGTTTCACAGAAAGTTTGCAACTCTAAATTCACCGGTTCGAATTAGGATACGAAAGGCCTGATGCCAATACCCCAGTATGGATACCTGCATTTCTTAATTCCTGACCTGGGTTTAGTTTTATGGTCAGATGAATCGTTTCTAAAAAAATAAAAAAGAGCTTCTCCATACAAGCAAGCATAAAAATGCAAGTAGAAACCACCCTTCAGAGGATGACAGGGAAAACTTGGACTTTTTTTGAATAGAGTACCCTACATACTTGGAGTTTGCATTCTTATTCATGAGGGAGGAAAACTCCATGTAAGTTTCTTTTGATAATATACCTATTGTTTAATGCTAAATTTTCCTAGACAAATAAAAGAATGAGAATTTAAACCTCAAATCTGAACATCTGGCTTGAATTAAGAAGAAAATGACAGAGAGCATTTCCATCATTTTACACCCGAAGAGAAGCAGGCTTCCATAGGAGACTAAAGAAGCTGCCTGGGAAACCCATGAAGCTTCAGCCTGACAAGAGCCAGAGGGTCCACGTAGTAGACATCTTCCATTCAAAATTCACTATTAAGAGGAATAGGGTCTTTTTTCTCCTTTTAAAGAATTCCCTTATAAGAATTATTGTCACAGATAAGAACTAATACCATTCAAAGATCCCCAGACTTAAATTCATAGAATATTCAGGAAAGGCATTTAAAGGGTGATGTTCAGATATATTCTTTTCTATATTTGCTTTGACGAACTTTTATTCACATCTCTTGCACAGACTTGTTGGTGTTGGTTTCTGGTATCCAATTCTATAATGCTTCTTATTCGTCTAATGCTATTCAATAAACTTGTGCAAACATTTTACTTAATTGTAAGCAATTCATTCTTAATGGAGCATTTCCTCAAATTTAGACAGTCTCTGAGTCATCATCATGAAAAGTAGAATTTCATCGTGTTTATTTTTATTTACATGCCTCTTACCTCTTACAGATCATCTAAATTCCATGGCAAAGGGTTAGTGAAATTATCCCTGATATTAACACAGTGGGGCAATGCTTGACTACAAGAGCCTGTTTTTTTTTGGTATACTCAATGTGGTTTCCTCCAGAAATTTCCAGGCTCCTACTAAAACCCGTTTTCACTGTCTCATGATACTGATTCTTAAAGTCTCCATTGTTTCATTTGGAAAAGTTTTGCACTGGGTTTAACAAACAGAAGTGGCTGATTCTTAAACTCCCGCCCCCTTCCTCCCCTGGTTCCAGCCCAGCTCTCACACCACTGTGCCGAGTTCTGCCGGGCTTGTCCCCCTGCCTCTCCCCACTGCTTTTGGGGTGGGGGTTCTCCTGCAGCACACCCAGATTCCAAGTTATATCTGGCTCCCTCATTTTTCTCTTTTTATTTAAATAATTTTTGGGGAAGAGAGTAAAAAGTACCTGTAGCTACAGGGTGGAGCAGAAATGTGTTTACAGTTGTGTGTATAGAAAATATTACAATAAATAATAATACAAGAATAAACTCTGTGTTTCACGTACTCACAACTGTAAACCTACTTTTGCCCCACCCTGAATTGTTTTCTGTTGTCTACAATTCACATTTATTACAGACATACATACACATAAAGAGGTTGTAAAATGCATTCTAGCATTCTTCCAACTTCAATATTTAGGGATCACAAATCATTTCATTCTTTAGTTTGACTTTTGCCTTCTTGGAGAAATGTAGCTAGACAAATATTTAGGAGCCTCAAATAAGAAATGTTATCATTCCGTGTGAGGTACTGTAATCACCATGGCTTTACAATGTAGAAGCTGAGACAGAGGGGGCTCAAGTAATTTACTCAAGGCCTTACAGCTATTCAACAGCAAGCCAAAATCTGAACCCAAGCAGTCTGGCATCAGAATCTACGTTTGTAACCACTACACTCTGAATGGGATAGCTGTCATCAGCTCCATTTCACAGCTGCAGAAATGGAGGCAGACAGACCTTCAATGGCTTCAAATCACATAACTAATCAGAGGCAAAACCAAAATTCAAACCCAGGGTCACCTGACTCCTAGCGAATGCTCTTAATCATAATACTACTCTGCCTACATTTTTCTCATTCCTAAAAATGTTTCTTACCTCTGCCCCTTGACCCACCCTCCTTTTCATGGCCCATCAAAGCCGGGAGAGGAGTTGGGGCTCCGGCACACTGGGTTTCCCCTGAGTGGAGACATCCACGGAGCGTCGTCCAACCCCCAGGGCGCCGGACGACCGAGAGGGCGGCGAGAAGGCGGTGGGCAGTGTGGAGGCAGAAACGACAGGGCCCGCCAGGACCCTTCACTAGCTTTGCTGCCACACAGCACCCATTCCTCAACAGTCACATAGATTTGGGGGCATTCAGCCTGATTTAGAACAGGATCTTAATCCACAATTAGATTCAGGATAACTTATTGAGCCAGTTAAGGAAGTGTCTGAGGAAAAATGACCTTGGGTGTTCTGGGTGGGTGGAGTCTAGACAGGGAGAAGGTGAAACAGTAAGGCAGACTTAGGAAGTGTGTGGCTACATACATTCATACACATACAAGTGAGTTAAAATCCCAAGTGCAATAGAATCCAAGGGAAAACCAAAACAGGATGTGGTTTTCTTTCCCGTAGCCTTCCTTTCTACAATTCTTGCCTCTCGCAGGTGTGTGCTGTGTAAGGACTGGTGTATATCCCAGGATTTTCTTGCTCTGAGGTCAAATTTGGTGGTACTTTTGAACTGAATAAATGTGCTAGTCTACAGAAAACTTGGTGAAATTGACAAAGAAAGAAAGTCTATGAGTCAGAAGGGTAACAATTGAAAGGTAAATTATACCACTTTGTGACCCTCAAGGACAGAGGGGCATTCTTCATGAGGGCCACCAGCAGTATCTGGGAACTTGTTAAAATACATATTCTTAAGCCCCTCCCCAGACATACTGAGCCAGAAACTCAGGGGTTGGGCCCAGTAATCTGTGTTTAACAAACTGTGGTATAATAAAAAATATATTTTATCTTTGTCCCTGGTTTGAGGCATTGAGCTCCAAAGACTCTTGAATTTCCCAACTAATAGGAATGTTTTTTGCTATTCACAATGAGCCCCTTTCAACCATTCCTGAGTCTATGCCAGTGAGGGGACTATACCCCTAGACAGCTTCAGAATGGGGCTGGTTTCCAGAGGAACCCGCCATTTTCAGCCCCACCCCTGAACCTCCACCGAGGGGAGCGGGGCTGCAGTTCGATCACAAATGGCCAGTGATTTAGTCAATCATGCCTACATCATGGGTTCTCCTTTAAAAATTCCTACACAACAGTGTTTGGAGAGCTTCTGGGTTGGTGACCACATTGCGGTGCTGGGGGGGTACACCTGGAGAGGGCATGGAAGCAGTGTGCTCCCTCCCCCACCCGTTGCCCTACACATCTCTTGCATTTGGCTGTTCCTGAGTTGTATTCTTTATAATAAACCAGCAATAATAAGTAAAGAATTTTCCTGAGCTCTGTGAGTTATTCCAATGAATTATCAACCCTGGGTTGGGGGGGGGGGGGGTCATGGGAACCTTCAAATATATAGTCAGTTGGATATAGTGGATAGTCTGAGCATCCCATTTGTTGCTGGTGTCTGAAGTGAGGGCAGTCTTGTGGGACTAAGACCTTAACCTGTGGGCTAACTAGTATCAAAACTGTTGGACACTCAGTTAGTATTAGGAAACTGAAGAATTGGTTGGTATCAGTAAACACTTGAGAAAAAAGACATTCACAAACCCTCCAGATGATTATGATGCCACTAATGTTTGAAAATATTGTTCTTGGATAAGGGCTCCAACCCTCACAGTACATTAGAGTCGTCTAGGAAACTTTCTTTTTTAAAATATTGGGTTAATTACGTTATCATTTATATACAGTAAAACTCACCCTCTTTGAGTGTTCAAGAAGTTAGTTTGCACAGCTCCCATCTCAGTCAGTTTGGGCTTCTATAACAAAGTACCATAGACTGGGTGACATATACATAACAGAATTTTTTTTCTCACAATCTGGGGGCTAGAAGTTTAAGATCGGGGTGTCAGCATGATTGGGTTCTGGTGAGAGCCTTTTACTGGGTTGCAGAGTGCTGACTTCTCACTGTGTCCTCTCACGGAAGAGAGCAGAGAAGGGAAGTAAGCTCTCTGGTAACTCTTTTTTTTAAAGAATAGTTTATTGATTTTTAGAGAGAGGGAGAGGGAGTGAGAGAGAAACATCGATGTGAGAGGGAAACACCAAGACATTGATCTAGTGCCTCCTGTATGCCCCCAACCAGAAATTCAGCCCACAACCCAAGCCACAATGGCTAGGGCTCTGGTGATGCCTACAAAAGAACTAACCTGTTCCTAAGGGCTCCACCTTTATGACCTCATCTAATTCTAAGTACCTCCCAAAGTACTTCCTAACACCATTATACATTGGAGGGTAGTTTCAACATACGAATTTGGAGGAGAGACAAAATATTCAATCCATTATAACCCAACCCTGGTTTTGTTCTTAAAATTTTGCTTTTTTCAGAATGTCATATAATTGGAGTCCTACAATGTGCAGCCTTTTGTCTAGCTACTTTGCATAATGTTTTTGAAATTCATCATGTTGTTGAATGTGTCAGTGATTTATTTTTTTTGTTGACTATTATTCCATTTTATGGATACACCATAATTTATTTATTCATTCAACAATTGATGAACATTTGAGCTGTTTACAGTTTGGGGCTATTATGAATAAAACTGAGGTTAATATTCACATACATGTGCTTAGGGAACATATGATTTTTGTGTTTTTTTTTCAAGTAAATACCTAGAAATGAGATTACTGCGTCATACATAAGTTGTATATTTAACTTTATAAGACACTGCTAAACTGCCTTCCAAAGTAGCTATACTATTTTGCATTCCCACCAGCAATATATGAGAATTCCAGTTGCTTCATGTCTTTACTAGCACTTGGTATTGTCAATCTTTTAAACTTTAGATATTTAAGTTGGTATTTAATCTCTTGTCTTAAATTTATATGAACTAAAATGGCTAATGATGTTGAGCAGTTTTTAATGGGCTTATTTGAGATCAGTACATCTACATTAAAAGTTTATCGTACATGAAAGTTTTTCTCCATTGAATTACATTGGCAAAGTTATCAAAAGAAATTGACCATATATGTATGGGTAGACTTGTGGACTCCTATTTTGTTTCATTGATCTTCTATATGTCTATCCTCATGCCAATACTATACCACTTTGATTAGTATAGCTTAACAGTAAGTCTTAAAATTTAGCAGGGATCATCTAACTTTGTTCTTTCTCAAAATTGTTTTGTACCTAAGTCCTTTGCTTTTTCATATGAATTTTTAAATCACTGTATCAGTTTCTACTCTCTCAAAAATGATTTTGATTGGGATTGTGTTGAATGTATGGATCAATTTGAGAAGAATTCACATCTTAATAATACTCACTCTTCCAGTCATGAATACAATATATCTCTCCATTTATACAAGACTTCTCTAATTTCTCAGCAATGTTTTATAGTTGTCCACATTCAGATCTTGCAGTTCCCCAAAGCCAAACCATGAGCTATAGCCTTTGAAGAACATTCATCTGCATGAGCAATACAAGCACATATGTTTTTTATTTATTATTCATATCATTTGGGAAGTGGTCAGATGTGACTTCTAGCCTAACTTTGATGGGACAACATTGCTTTCTCCTTCAAAGAAAAGCAGTGAATCACTCAAAGCAATTAGATAGGACACCCTCAAATTCTCCCCACCAGATTTACAAGTCTCCCCAAATCTTCTTCCATTCTTAACAATTCTCTTTGGCTACATTAAACTTGGTACTCCTTCTC